GTCTACATGCACACTGAGTCCGAAATTTTCGCATGTTGAAAAATAAATACGACCTTGCGTTGTGTCAATCACGTTTACACACTGCCTCCGAAACTTTCGTCTGTCATAAAATTAAAAAAAATCGGACCAGGTTCGATTTTCTGCATTTTGATAGGAAAGGATGACGAATACAAAAAACGCAAAAGTGAAAATTTCGGACTCAGTGTGCATTATATATTTTTCTGAGGCTGTTTTTAGTCCTTTCCTAGCTACCTACAAGAAACATTAGGTTTAATCTAAACAAAACACATGACACTTCAGGTCTAGAGGAGACTGATCCTAAGTGAGAAGAAAGAGAAAATGGTAGATCTTTAGAAGTAGGTCAGATGTTCTCTAAACGATTTCAACATCTTGTCTAGTTGGCTGAAATGCTCCTCCTGATGTCTCGAGGTGAAGATCCGAAACTTTCGTCTGTCATAAAATTAAAAAAAATCGGACCAGGTTCGATTTTCTGCATTTTGATAGGAAAGGATGACGAATACAAAAAACGCAAAAGTGAAAATTTCGGACTCAGTGTGCATTATATATTTTTCTGAGGCTGTTTTTAGTCCTTTCCTAGCTACCTACAAGAAACATTAGGTTTAATCTAAACAAAACACATGATACTTCAGGTCTAGAGGAGACTGATCCTAAGTGAGAAGAAAGAGAAAATGGCAGATCTTTAGAAGTAGGTCAGATGTTCTCTAAACGATTTCAACGTCTTGTCTAGTTGGCTGAAATGCTCCTCCTGATGTCTCGAGGTGAAGAAAAGTGGCTTTTTACTTTTTTTTTTAAGCAAGGAAATACATTGGGCTATCAAAAAGTGTGTAATTGGTTTATTTAAATAAGTTGTGCGTAAATAACGGATTTAATGAACACCACCAAATTATCCTACCTTTCCCACAACACTGTCACGCAAAATCGACGTCCTCCAACTCAGCGCCCTGCGTACAGAGACTGCTGAAACAGCGTGACAATGTTCATCTCCTTTCTGCTGAAGGGAGGGCGCAATAATTGCATTTATTCTTCTGCAGTGACGGTAGCATTTGTCCTTTGTGCCACTCAAAACAGACTCTGATTATATATAGAGACCCAGTGAGGTAAAGTGAGGATACACTTGATTTAATTCTGGAACATTCTGTTGAAAAGCATCTCTGGGTGGAGTTTGGCAGATCTTTAGGGTTTGTGCTTGACTTCGTGCCTTTGGGACTGGAGAAGTCATTGACATTGGATGACAGAGACTGAGAGGTTTTGGATCACTGGAGACCGATTTGAGCCAAACCAAGTGATGAATTGATTCTGATTGGTGTGAAGGACACTGGAATGTGTCTTTAAATAAGTGAATGTGTCATTATGTATGAAGGGCCTGTCTGTAAATCTGGGCCAACGGTTATTAAATGTGGATTATCATAGATTAAATGTATATTTACCCATGTAAATTCTTCAGATTCATATACAGCCACAAGAAGTAGTATATGACCACATAAACAATTAATTGCAAAGCAATCTCAAAGTATTTCGCAACTTATTTTCTTCCTGCTTGATATCTGTTGATGTCATGTTTTTTTTTTTAAATGTCACATCCGTCAGGCTTTAATCACTTGTCTTTCCCACATCATAGGCTTGTGTATGAAAATGTCATTCAATGCGATTAACACTCCTCTGATTCTTGAAGGGTTTATTTAGAAGTTGCGCAGTTTGCTATTTATCAAGTCCATATCTTGCAGCATGGTTTGCCCCTTCATATTTTATATTGACATTCTAATGTTTTTATATATGTCATTGATGTATTTTCTCAAAATTATACAAGATTATCTCTGGCCATGTGTATAGTGTCAGGGGTGTTTTGGTTCTGTGACAATGTTGATCTGTTGTGTTGGTATGTTTTTCTCTCTGTAGATGTTGACTGAAGCCACTCTGGATGCCCAGCAGACTCAGGCCTGGGATCATTTCCGCACTCTCTACAGAGGACCATCTAGGGTACGATTGACCTTAAAATCTGTTCTTTCCATTCTCGCACTATTCAAATGTTTACATGCCACGACTTGCAGAATATGTTTATCTTTCCTTTTTTTTTCTCAAAAAATTGAATTTTAGCACTGTCATAAAAATGTTATTTTAGTCTGTAGAAAATTTAAGGTGTGCTGAATACTTTCCGTACCCACTGTATATAGAGACCCAGTGAGGTAAAGTGAGGATACACTTGATTTAATTCTGGAACATTCTGTTGAAAAGCATCTCTGGGTGGAGTTTGGCAGATCTTTAGGGTTTGTGCTTGACTTCGTGCCTTTGGGACTGGAGAAGTCATTGACATTGGATGACAGAGACTGAGAGGTTTTGGATCACTGGAGACCGATTTGAGCCAAACCAAGTGATGAATTGATTCTGATTGGTGTGAAGGACACTGGAATGTGTCTTTAAATAAGTGAATGTGTCATTATGTATGAAGGGCCTGTCTGTAAATCTGGGCCAACGGTTATTAAATGTGGATTATCATAGATTAAATGTATATTTACCCATGTAAATTCTTCAGATTCATATACAGCCACGAGAAGTAGTATATGACCACATAAACAATTAATTGCAAAGCAATCTCAAAGTATTTCGCAACTTATTTTCTTCCTGCTTGATATCTGTTGATGTCATGTTTTTTTTTTTAAATGTCACATCCGTCAGGCTTTAATCACTTGTCTTTCCCACATCATAGGCTTGTGTATGAAAATGTCATTCAATGCGATTAACACTCCTCTGATTCTTGAAGGGTTTATTTAGAAGTTGCGCAGTTTGCTATTTATCAAGTCCATATCTTGCAGCATGGTTTGCCCCTTCATATTTTATATTGACATTCTAATGTTTTTATATATGTCATTGATGTATTTTCTCAAAATTATACAAGATTATCTCTGGCCATGTGTATAGTGTCAGGGGTGTTTTGGTTCTGTGACAATGTTGATCTGTTGTGTTGGTATGTTTTTCTCTCTGTAGATGTTGACTGAAGCCACTCTGGATGCCCAGCAGACTCAGGCCTGGGATCATTTCCGCACTCTCTACAGAGGACCATCTAGGGTACGATTGACCTTAAAATCTGTTCTTTCCATTCTCGCACTATTCAAATGTTTACATGCCACGACTTGCAGAATATGTTTATCTTTCCTTTTTTTTTCTCAAAAAATTGAATTTTAGCACTGTCATAAAAATGTTATTTTAGTCTTGGTGAAGCTATTTGACGTATAAGCTACAGTTTAAAAGTTTGGGGTTGGTAAGATTTTTGTAATGTTTTTGAAAAGTCAATATTAATATTTTCACAGTAATATTGTGAAATTGTACAATTTATTTCAAATTTTATTAAATATTACAATTTATTACAATTAATTTCTTTTTACCAATGTTAAAAAAGTTTTTGCTGCTTCTTTTTTTGTGTGAAAACAATGATACATTTTATTTTTCAAGATTATTTAGTGAACAGAGATTTCAAAAGAACAGGGTTTATTTGTAATAGAAATATTTTGTAAGATTACAAATGTACTTACTGTCACTTTGATCATTTTAATGCCTCACTGATAATTAAAAGTATTAAATTCTTTTAAAAAATAAAAATCTTACAGGCCCCAAAATTTTGAATGATATTGTATCCCACAAGACAAAAAAATAACTTAATTAATCACATTATCCTGTTTAATATATACATACTCTTACATACCCTGGTTATTATCTAGTGTTGACACCTCAAGCATCAATATCTGCTTGCAGCCTTTTGTGATAGCAGTGCATAATAAGTCCCTGGTTTGTCCTGAACATTAAATTTGCCCATCTGTTCTTTGAAAAAAGCCCCCGGGTACTTTAAGTTCTTGCATGCAAGTTGAATTCTTCCCCACAGTGGCTCAATGATTTTGAGATCCAGCGTCAGGACAATTGAAGGACTTGTACATTATTACAAAAAGGCTGGCAGCAGTCATGGATACTCAGGGAGGCAGTACATGATACTAAGAACCAAGACCGCAAAGACATGTTTTATTTTCAGCAATTTCATTTATTTTTCTTGTGGAATATTTGTAAATGTCTATTATGCAGCTTATTTAGTACTAAAATAAAATAAAATTCTGTAGGACTAATTAATAAATAAACAAAAGGCCGTTTTTAACAATATTTCTAATTTTTAAAAAATGCTAAACATCTTGCAAATTAATCCGTGTATCATTCGTTCACTCGTTTTTTTATTTTAAGGCGATGCATATGACGATGCTAAAAAGAACATTATTTGGTGTATTTGGTGTAATGCAATGTGTTTATGCGGTTTAAGGTTCGAAGAGAGGTTTCTCCTCTCTTCCCCACCTTTCTGAAACACGTCGATTTTTACAAAGCTTATAGTTTTGAAATGACTCTATGAGCGGTGTCAAAGTTACTTTCAAAGAAAGTCTGTTTACTCTGCGGCCATATTTGCAATGCCTCAGGGCAGCTCAAACCAAGAGACAAAGTCCTATCTAAATGAATGGGGTAATCCTGAAATCTCAAAAAGTGCCCTATGAACTCACAATTAAATTACATATTTCAAATTTGAAATGAACTGCCCCATGAATGTTGTTTCTTATGCTCAAATAGCATTAAAAAAGCTTATTTTTTAGTGTAGACCAGCCAATGCGCATGCACAGTTACAACGAGCTTATCGCTGCGCATGCGCATTGGCTGGTCCAGCCTCAAGTTTCTATGGGAACCAGAGCTTCTAATGGCTGCTGCAGTGACGCAATGACATCTTTCATTTAGGCTCTTTCATTTTTTCCGCCATATTGCGTGTTGCAGTTTCTCCCATTCATAAATATAGGAGTAAACCGTCTTTGTATTTCTATAGTCTTTGGCGGTGTGCTCTGATTGGCCAGCTATCCAGTGTATTGTGAAAAATATGCAATATGAAAATAATTGAAGACAAAATGTGTTTTACTGAGAAAAAACAAGATTTGGTTTTTAAAAAGCCTTTTTCCAAAAGGTACATCTGGAAAAAGGGGGGGTCGTCTTATAATCAGGGTCGTCTTATATTCGGGCCAATACGGTAATATTAATATTTAATACCGGAGCAGAGCCCAGACAGGGCCTTTTCCTGTATAGACCAACAATTCTAAATCAAGTGAATGAATGATACACAGATTCAAATTCCCTAAGGCAGTGGTTCTCGAACGTTTTTGCTCATGCCTCCCCTTTAAACTTTTTTTTAAACTCTAAATTAAAAAACACCTGCAATTGTTTCACATTCACTGTGTCTATTCTGGGCATGAGCAGTGCAACGCGATGCAATTAAAGCCAATCTAAATTGGATGCGGGGCAACAGGACGAATCCCCGACAGTAAGCTGATGGCCCATTTCTATTTCTGACATACTCTAAGCGCTCTTGCTACTTCTGACACAAAGGACAAATGGATTTGCATCGGTCACTTTGTCATATCCAGCGTAGACAGCCTTTAGTTGTTGCGGCGTTTTTGCTTTGCGACCCCTTTAAATACAAGATAAGCATTCGATCTACGTCAGAGCGTCCACGAATCTTTCTACAGCGTTGTTGGCAGGGCGGCCAGAGCGATTTTTGACGCCCTCGACGGCGGTGATGTGAACGCACAGTAAGGCATATTTATACTCTTGAACTGCAGCTTTGTTGCAGATTTTGTGGGATTTTCAGTTCACCCAGTGACAAAACATGTGTCAGTGCCTTACAAGATTATTCCATAACAACGGACTGTTATGCAATACAATGCGTGTGTATGTGTTGCCTTTGTGTAAATACTGCAGTCATTGAGTCTTACTGTTTATGGGTCAGCACTTATCAGACAGAGACAATCCGAATGTCTTGTATTTTACTGTCAGTATCTTGAATACACTCACACAGTGCTCTGCCCTCTGACCTACTGTCACATCTGTGTACTCCTCACACTGTATGCGAGCGGTCCAGTTTTAAAGTCTAGAAAGGTGTGCACATATACCTATGTATGTGAGAGGTTGGAAGGCCATTTTTCTCCCCCTTAGATTTATATTTATATACCTTTTCAAGATTAGAGACCTGTAGTATTGGACTCTATTTTCGCTCACAGTTCTATCCATCACATACACACAGATGCACTCAAATACACTCTCACCCACATGTGCACACCCCCACATACACTCACACAAACATAGAGACGCTTACAATCAAATGAAGGTCTATGTCGACTCAGTGCTGCAGACTAAAAACTAAGTTGACTCAGTGTCAAATGGAATTTTAGTTAAAAGTGTCTTTGATTAAGAGAGGCCCATTGCCCTAATTACGCCTGGAATTAATATTCATTTACTGTCATAATATAACATTAAAAGCCAGACATAAATGCACCCATGAGGCATTATGATTGGGTCGTGATCGAATCACTGAAAACATATTTGTAGGTGGTCTGACATGGATTACGACACATTTAACGGTGTAAAAGCATTTTTGCATCTACTTTCAGTTATGCAAGTAATATGAACTGAGGTTACATTGTAAATAGTCATTTGTTTCACAATATAATTGAGGTTACACTGTAAACAATCATATACTTCACACTTCGCATAAATCTTTTTGACGGATTTTCACTACACTATTATTGAGGCCCAAATTAATAACACAATAAGAATAGAAATTAAATAAATAAATAGTGCTGTCAAACGATTAATTGCGATTATTCGCATCCAAAATAAAAGTGTTTGTTTACATAATATATGTGTGTATACTGTGTATATTTATTATGTATATATAAATAGAAACACATGCGTGTACAGTACTATATAAATAATGCTGTCAGTCAGATTCATCTTTAACATTTTTTACAAAATTTTTCAAAAAGAAGTTGAAGCCTTTATATATTATGCATTATAAAAGTATTAATGCGTTTGTTATGCCTTGTGATATATCTTATAGTACACACATATATTATATAACCACAGATATATTACATTGTAATAATTAAATATTCATTGTTTACCTTTAG